GGGGGGGGAATATAGGGAACGACGGAGGTGCCCCAAAAACTGAAAATTAATAAGCGGGGGGGGGGACGCTTATTCGCTATCTTAGAACCTTAGACTTAGACTTAGAGTATTTCGCAGCTTCATTTTCTCTCTTGGCAATTTGTGAAGCCTCATGGTTTTACAGCCCACTGACTGCTTCACTCCCACTCCCACTGCGCGTGTGGAGGAGCTAATGTTGAAGTCCTTCAGAGACATTGTCAGGGTGCCTTGGTAGCGCTTTTTTGATGTGTCAACATTTGTTGTTTGTTTTAGTAACATTTTACGGTGTTTGCAACTGCATAAGGTATTATGAATAAGAGTGCCAAGGGGTGGATGTCAACAGAGAAGTCCAAATGGGGAATCAGCGAGTGAACTTTGCACTTCCCGTAGTGTTCAGTTTAGTTTGAGTAAGTTTTACTGCACTTGAAACAAAATAATAAGGTCATAATATAAGTACCGGAGATTAGAGGTGTTACAAAAGAGTAACAAACACAAAAAAGAAGGAAGAGAGATCAGAATGATAGATGTTTGATAGGAAAGAAGGAGCAAACCGCACCAGAACACCCGCCAACAACCCACGCTTCCCTTGAACTTGGAACACAAAAGACAATGACGCAGAGAGAGGTCTCAATACAGAAATCCATTTATTCCATAATTTTTACATATTAGAAAAAAAAAATATTTGGTTTTGACTCGCAATATGGCATGGGATTAAAAACACATTGGAAGAGTACGTACATGACAACTTTTTTATGAGTTTGTTCATATTATGAAAAACGGACAAAAGAAAAAGACGTATGACCGTAGCTAAGCTACCAGTTGAGAAGTCAGAAAAAACATGAAAGAAAAAAACATGAGCTGAGAAAATGTATCTGTAGATCACTGTTAAACAGAAATTGTGGATTAAAAATTTTGTTTTTCCATGACTGGTAACTTCCTGCATTACTTTTCAAAATGCATTACACAAAAACCATTCCTTTAGTTTCGCTACACGCTTCATTTTTTCAAGGTTAAAACAATAAAACATTTGCTTCAGTAGCAGCATGTGATAACACCACAGGACAAAAAAAGAGTAATTAGACAAAGTTGTAAATAATGGACCACGTCCAACTACAATTTCAATTTTTAAAAATCCTCCACATTTCAGCCTTCGGGTATTTGTGTTCTGCGGATTTGAAACATCATGTAGAAAACGGCTCAAATTCAGCACTGCTGCCGCACGATGAAAGAACGCCTTTTTCTTATTCACAGCACAGTTTCCAGGTAAAAAGGCATTTTGTCAGCCTAATCCTTTTAAAAAGGCATTCTTTGCAGAAATTTGATTTGAATGCAAATTTATTCAAACACTAGTCAGTCTCACTTTGATTTTTTCACACAAGTAGGATAACTCATCAGGCTATTGTTTTAGCAAAAATCACAAAAATTGGCGCCAAAATGAAAGGTTTAAAAAAGGCGTTTTGTCAGCTGGGCAGGGCAGAGCACACACACATTACTGTTTCTCATAACAGACCAGGTCACACTAAAAGGTAAAAATAGCAATTTCCATTTTGAAAAAGTCCCCAACATTTCGACCTAACGGTGTTCCACAGACTCAGCGTAGGTCACATGATGTAGAAGACATGTATGTATGTACAAGCTGGCAAGATTGTGAGAAAACTTCTTGTTCGACATTCCAACTGGTCATTCCCCGACACACCACGGACACTTCCGGAAAATTTACAACACAAAAAAATACTGGTTGTCACAAACAATGCGCCATCCATACACTGTATGATACAGTATGACTCATGACACATACACTGTATGATACAGTATGACTCATGACACATACACTGTATGATACAGTATGACTCATGACACATACACTGTATGATACAGTATGACTCATGACACATACACTGTATGATACAGTATGACTCATGACACATAGACGAGCATAACTAAAAAAACATAAGCTTCTCCTTTCAATGAGACAAATACTGCATCAACATTTTAAAGCAAATCAAATCAACATGCAGAACAAACTCTGTATTTTTATTGTAAAACTTTTACCTGCCTGATTAAACAACGAAATAACATCGTCTTCAATGACACTACACCTCATGACTGCGGACTGTGCGTCTTTCAGTGTGTAATCTAACATGGCTTGCAACTCTTGTAACAAAACCTGTTTTTTATTATTGCGTTTAATTAAATAAACACATGCAAATGAATACACTGACAGTCATTTAGAAATAGAAAAAAAAAAGCAAGATTGACAGACAGAAAAAAAACGGAGAGATAAAAAAACCATCCGATCCACTCGTTCTCAAAAATTAGGTTTACGTTCGAATAAAGAGACGCAAATTGACACAGAAAGGTCATTTAGTGCTGGAAAAGAGCAAGAATAGGAACTTACAATAAAAAGAAGCACGATCGATATGACAAAGGTCACCTAGGGTAGGGTAAAAGAAAGTTTTAGTTTTAGTAAGGTTTTACGTCGCTCGCAACTGCATAAGGTCATTTGAGCGCCAACGGGTGGATGTCAACAGAGAAGTCCAAACGGGAATCAGGCTTACTCTGCTCACCTCTCTAGCCTCAACAGCACAAAGTCTGCTTCAAGGCACCCCAGAAATAGCTGTTCACAAGAGAGTGGCAATCATACAAAAGAAGTAGAGGAAAAAAATGAATATAGTATCCATGAGGAAAGAAAAAGCATCAGAAAGATAAAGATCAGTTGGAAAGAAAATAATCAGGACGTACCTGTGGTGCCCTCCAGCCACACACTCACACACTCCAACCACACAGACAGACCCAACAACAAGGACACGAGAGAGGCGAACGGCAGCGAAACCCTCCACACATCAGCTGACAGCTACAGTACAGTACAGTGTCCACTGCCCACTTTGTAAGTCTTTGGTATACTTCCGGAGCGTTCACGCCAACATCGATACAACAATCGCAAACCACGATACAACAAACGCAAACCATAACAGATGATAACGTACGACATGAACGCACAGGTTTCACAACAAACTAGAACGCACATATGACACCCACATATGACACGAGGAACAAAATCATACACACAACACCGCACAATGACTCCTCTCCAAATGCCATCAAAACATCTCTCCAGCAAAGTATGTAATATATATATATATATTAACAGAGATTTAAAAACAAAAACAGAACTTCCAAAGACAAAAGCAATTATTAAACTCTATAACATATCTTCCCCTGACAAGATTCAAAATAACTTTCTAAACATGTCGAGCACACAACCACGACAGACGCTAGTGGCCAAGAGCCAAGAGTTGATCAGACTCATTTTCAAATCCCCTCTAACCCGTTGAAAGGGATATAATTAATTATGCAAAAGACCTCCAGGTTAAGTTTCTGATACAAGGGAGGGAAGCGGAAACGTAGAAGACTTCAACACTTTGCCCCCACGGGCCGGCGACAGTAAGAAGCCATACCTTTTCCCCACGGGACGCCGATCAGCGACGGTGTGATATATATAGCGTTTACTGCACCTGTATCCTGGATCGTGGGGGATAAGTGTTGGCGCTGCATGGGTGGCAAGTGTTAAACCGCTAGCATTTTTTTCCTCAGTCCCAAGACACGCTATGAGAGAACTCATACCTGTAACATCACCAGGCTGATTATTCTTGATAGAACTGAGCATTTTCTGTCACCACACGTTTAAACCATTACGCCAAACAGCTGGAGTTGTGACGTCAGCTAAACACTCACCGCCCCAGAGGCTTTGACAATGAGCTTAACACACACACACCCCCCCCCCCCCCCCACCCCCACAGGATATATCCGGAATGATCCACAACTCTTCCCACAACAGGCTATAGCCCTTAAAACAGTACATTTAGAAGCTCACAACACGCATCATCTTCAAAACGACAAAGCCGCTAACGTCCTCACACACACGACACAACAACAGTATGTACACGGTAGACTCTTAGATCACGGATGGACAAAAAAAGTTCACGTACTCTCACAACATGAACATATAACTGACTGGTTCTCACGAGAACTCGCGCACACTCAAGTCATAAAAATCCATAAATAAAACAAAACTTCCATCCCCAGCCGTTAAAAAAACAACAACAAATAAAACTTTTAACATTGCAATCTATCTTAAAAAATAAAAAGTACAAAGAAATTCTACTCCCATAACAAACGGAATAAAACAAGTACCCGGGCTATCACAAAAAAGGAAAAACACTATAGATCTATCATCATACCAGTCTCACAAAAATTTGCCGTCACATTCGCTCCCAGCCATGAGTGAGCAACTTCAGTAAACTACACAAACACGGTGGCACGACGGCCCCAGACTTTCTGCCCAGGGTCTCCACAAGTTCCTTCCCTTCACAAACAGTCGGCAGGCTGGTGACAGCTTCTTCTGGTCGGGAGACGTCGTCAGTTACACAAAACAATGTCAAGACGCGGTGGAATCAGGCGCTCGTCAAATCTTGGGGAATACCGAGTTATTGGTATTATCTTAAAGCTTATTCATTTTGATTGCTTTGGACGAAAAAATAATCGATAAGCCCATATCTACAAGAGAGTTCCAACTATTTGAAATTGAAGGAGGTGGGGGTTGCCTGGTTTCAACAGTAAAATCAGAGAGAAAATGGCCGCCAAAGTTTGGAGACTCCCAAAGCTTTAGAGTCCTTTGCTACAGTAGACTTACATTTTCTGTACCTTTAAATCATCGTCTTTCAGTCAAATTCCACACAGCAATGTATTTTTAAAAGAACCTAAAAGGTGTGGAGCCAAAAAGTAAAAATTCTATAAAAATTGCAAAAACGGGCGGGAAAATGCAGATTTCTTTTATTTGATTCTTTTGACGAGCGCCTGATTTCACCACGATGCTTCACAAATGTTTCTCTCCTTCTAAAGTGCCACGACGCACAGGCGCAAAACTTTCCCATATAATGCTGGTGCCCAGAATGAATTAACTTTCTGAGGGGGGAGGGCCGCGGTGGTGTTGTCGGCGACACGACGTCCCGATGGTGGCGGTGACACGATGTAATAACGATGATGGTGGTGGTGGTAACGGTGACGACAGTGGTGGGCGATGAACTTCCTGTACACAGCAGCACGCTCCCTCTCACCTCACTGAAACAAGACAGAAACGAAAGACGCACGCTCGTCAGTGACTCGGCGACTACCACAATATGTCAAGGGCAACAACAACACTACTGAACGCATACACACATATCATATCGTCCTCAAGAAAGGGTCACTTTTAGTTTATGTTTAGTAAGAGTTTTACGGCACTTGCAAAACAACAAGGTCATAAAAGTGCCGAATATTACAGGTGTTACAAGAGAATAACAAACATAAAAAAGAAGGAGAGATCAGGATGAAAGATGTTTGATAGGAAAGAAGGAGCAAACCACACCAGAGCACCCGGCAACCCATCCACAAAGGGTCACTTTTCAAACCCGATTTAAAAAAGCTTAGCAATAACCATGCCCAACTGAGGAGGAACTACAGTACAGTCCGCTTAAATTAAACATGGTTAATCCAAAAATAGCTATAAACCAAAAGAAAATACAATAGCCGGGGTTTTGTTCTTCTATTTGAGAACCTGCCTGGCAAAACCGAAAAAAAATTCAGCAGCCCTGCAGACTTCGCTTTACTTTAAGCAGACTCCAATGTAGATCCAATATTGCTCTAAAACTAAAGGTTGGGCAGTTTATGAAACAAAAGACAGACAACAGCCCAACAAGGGATATAGTACAACTAAATAAAAAAAAAAAAAATCCAATAAAGAGAAATCCTTAAATAAAAATAAAAATTGACCTCTACCATCTTAGAGTGAGGAAAACAGGCATACATCTGCTGCTACCCTTCGCAAACCAGATGACCATCACCAATTGCCAGATCTAAGGACAGATATCAGCCAACATGGCTCACTATTCATTCCTTTGCTCGGGATTCTCTCAAAATGAAAGAAAAAAGCTACAATATCCTGATTTTCCCAAGTCGGCCATCTGTTTAGTAGGCTTTCCAAGTGAATTGCTGTGGGTCTACCCCTGCCTCTTTTTGCCTTCAATTCTACCGGTCAGAGCTAGATGTTTTAAGGCATAAGTAAACTGTTCTGGGTCTACCGCTGCCTCATTTGCCTTCAGTTCTACCAGTAAGAGCAAACGGTGCAAGTCCTTTCAAGTTACAGTGTGGTATGGGTATATATCACAATAAGGTTACATAAGGTTATCAAAGACACCAGACCTCCAATCACTGACGGGATAGAGACAGGCACAGGATGAGCCTTGAAAACTCCCTGAACAAGTTTTAAATAACGCATCAAGAAATGTGAATATATGATACTTTTTTTTTTTTTGCTCCATAAAAATTGCCTGTCAAGAAACTGTTCATCGACCGACATTTCCATTTCTTTTCTTTACAAGACTTATCCTTGTTCACAAAAAAAAAATACCCCCTGTCTGATCCCTTGTTTCCCCTACCATTTACATGAAACAAAAAGTGCTGTAGTTAGTTTTAGTAGAGGTTTCATGGCGCTCGCAACTGCATAAGATCATATGAGCGCCAGAAGATTAGAGGTGTTACAAGAGAGTAACAAACATAAAAAAGAAGAAGGGAAGATAAGGATGATAGATGTTATAGGAAAGAAAGAACGTGCCACAAGCACATCCACACACAAGGATGGTCATTTAGCGGAGGGGAACAGTAGGGCAAACAGGCAGAAACAACACAAGGAGGACAGAAAAAGACGTAGACTGGTAGAGGGCCGACTAAAGTGAGTAACCCACGACGCTTAGAGACTACAGCAAACACATTTCCTTCTACTCATTAGAAATTAAGTGTGTATGTGTGTGCGTGTGAGTGTGTGGGTGTGGGCGTAGGAGTGTGTGTGTGTGTGTGTGTGTGTGTGAGGGCAGAGACTGAGGCACCACTGACATAAGGACACACCACGACAACCCAGAACAGACAGACCAACACAACACTGCCTTAAAAGTAACATAAGACACAATGCTCTCTCACCCACACATAATGGTATACGGGGTGCCCACTACGGACGGGATCGGCCGATCGAGCGACTCGGTCGCTTCAAAAACAAACGTGTTTGTTTTCAGTTTCAGGTGACAGAGTCGGGCGATCGGCCCGATCCAGCCGTAGTGGGTACCCCATATAACAAACATCACTCTCTCTAATCCACTCATATGACCTTATGCAGTTGCGAGCACTGTGAAACACTTACCAAAAATGTTTTTAAAAAATAAACACCCACTGATAATGACACTGCAGCATATCTCATATCCCACTAAAGCTCCCACCGCGCCAAAAGTGATTTAGCTCTCTCATCCAACCACTCATAAAACAGTAGTCTTCTTAAACTGAAATCTGTGAAACCCTCAGATTTTTTTTTTCGTTTTAAAGAGGCTGCTCAAATCTAAGACAGAAAAAAAAAAAATATATATATATATATATTTCCTTTCGTTTTCGTAAGACTTTTACAGCACTTGCAAAGCAAAAAGGTCACATAATAAGAGCTGAAGATTACAGGTGTCACAAGAAAATAACTAACACAAAAAAAGAAGGAAGAGAGATAAGGATGAAAGAAGCTTGATAGGATTTTTTTTTTAAAAAGCAAACCACACCAGAGCACCCACCAACCACCCGCATTTTCTTGCCACTTACCCCTGTTTCCCGATTAATTAAAAGCAGACTCCATTGTATCACGAGCTCAGCTCTCTCTCTCTCTCCCTATCTCTCTCTCCCTCTCTCTCTCTCCCTCTCTCTCTCCCCCACCTACTTTTATCGCATGTTGTAACAAACTCTGTTTTACTTCAACCTAACAATATTTTGTTTATGTAAGTGTTTTACGGCACCCATAACTCTCAACCTCTGTGCTTTCGTGTCGTATCTCCAGTTTTAATAATAGTGAAAACGGTTCATAACAAAGAGTGAGCTTAAGAAGAAGTCACATTTTCACGGTTTAAAAAAATGGAAATACGACAAGAAAGCACTGAGGTCGCCAACTGTAAACCTAACAACAATGTAATGAAACACCGGTACATAAATTCTCTGTCTTCCATCCACAAATCAATGTTTGAATTATGTCACATGCTTAGCCAGCAGCCTTGTACCTTCCACTAGCACCGCATCATGCTATAAATAGAACAATCAAAAGTTGCAACCACCACAACAACAACAACACTGATGACGACAACTCAACAGTCAGCGGTAACCATGGTAACATACTACTCATAGAAAAATTCTGTATTTTGGTGATGTCGAAAGCAAAGGTACATCTTTGATAGAGCTTGGGAGGATGTAATAATCAAATATTCTAAAAATTTGGACTTAAGTGGATAGCTTGTGAACTTTTCACTTAACCCTATCCGTACGTCGTGTTTTACTATCGTATCCATATGACGTGTGGAACTCTGAGCTATCACTTTCCAAAGAGGAAATTCACTCGTTAAACCAATCCGTACGCTTTGCGTAGCAGTCTGTCAAAATGATTTTTTGAGAAATACTGAAAGTTTCAAAGAGATCTTCAAACTGGAAGTATTCTAAAATGTGTAGAATACAACCCCGGGGGTACAAAATGACCCCAGGGCGTACAGATAGGGTTAACATGTTTCAAGACAGAGAGAAATGAAACTACCCAACAAAGTTCCCATCCAAAAACAAGAATAAAGAACGAAAAAGTAGCAAAAAATTAGTAAGGAGAAACGACACACACTTCTATGAAAAAGCATCATAAAGCAAAAATACATTTGTGGGACATCGTGGTGGAATCAGGCGCTCGTCAAAATAATTAAATCAAAGAAATCTGCATTTTTGGGGCCAATGGGCAATTTTTATTTGATTTTCTTCTTTTAGCTCAGCACCTTTCAAATCCATTTAAAAACACCTTTTGGGTGGATTGTACTGAAAAACATTGATGAAAGGCACAAAAAAGGTACATTTTTCGTTTCCAACGACTCTCAGGCTAAGGAAGTTACTAAACGTTGGCGGCCATTTTCTTGCTAATTTCACCTCTGAAACCAGGAGACCCTGACCTCCTTCAATCGCAAATATTTCGACTTCTATTCAACATAGAAGGATTTTTTTTTCACTACTAAAAGGAAGGCAAATGAATGTGCTTTAAGATGATACCAATAGCCCTGTATGTCCAAAAATTGACGAACGCCCGATTCCAATGTCGTGACACATTTCACATTTCAGTGTACAAAACCAAAGAGGGGCTCACAAAGCAAACACAAATACGTGTAACAAAATGAAGACTACAGGGGGGGGGGGGACGATGACAGTTGCAGATGGGAAATGGTGAGGGTGCCAATTTTTAAAGCTTTTATGGACTCATAACTTTATATTTGTTTGACTGATGGTTTTTTGTTAAGTGTTGTTGAATGGGAAATCTAACAACAATAATCAACCAACAGTTGAACAGAAATACAGTTGTGAATCAACAAGCGTCCAAAATTGGTACCCTCACAATTTTGGGTATATGACTACAGCTGTTTTTCCGCTGTAGTCTTCAAAAGGTAACAATTACAAAAAATAAATAAATAAATAAATAAAATTTGAAAAAAACAACCAAACAACCCAATTTAAAAAACAACCCAACAGAATCGGGTAACAAAAAACATAGAGAGGAAACAAAGAGTAATAAATAAAAGAATTCCTCACTTCTCTACTGATACACCTCACTCAGAGTCTTCAAGTCCCCACTGAAAATCACAAACAGGAAAATATGAAAATATGATTATCACAGTCATCCACAAGGGCACACAGAAACCTATCCCAATCTTCTAAAAGAGCACTCTACTATATACAGAAACCTACCCCAATCTTCTCAAAGAACACTATACTATTTACTGAAACATTTCACCAGCTATGGAAAAAAAAAGAGTTCTTATTTTTTTAAATTTACGAACAGACTGCTCTATTCTCATATTTAAATACCTTTTATTAACTATAACTGGGTAGGTAAGTGTTTTACGGCGCTCGCTACTGCATAAGGTCACATGAGCGCACGAGATATATTAAACATTTTCCAGTTTAACTAAAGCTAGTCTTTATTAATTTTACTGGTTCACACTCAAAGTTATTTTCATGGTAAGTCTTTCGATGTGTCTCTTTTAAACGAAGAAAAAGGCTAAAAAAAACACCCCTTGTACTTTTCTTGCATCACTTTGGGTTCTCAACTACAACTATTTTGAGATTTCTTCATTGACAGCACAACCTCACATGAAATCAACAGAAACTGACTGGCGCCTGCCTGCATATTCATCAAGATCAGTTAATTTTTTTTCAGGTTTTAATTTTTGTTGCTGACGACTTTCCAACTGTCTCTAGGAGGTGTTCAGTTGGTCCTCAGGCTGAAAGTCATAGTAACTAAAGTGACAAAAGGCTACACATTGACAACACAGGCAAGCCCCTGGCCATCGGGCAACAAGCTCAACACCAGGTAAACACGATGCCAGTGCCAGGTAAACACAGCACCAGCACAAAGTAAACTTAACACGATGCCAGCACGAGGCAAATACGATGCCAGCACGCGACAACAGTCCACTTGAGACGGAGAGAAACACATCCACAAGATAACAGCCATTCAATGATGGGAAAGAGCTAAACAGACAACAATGTAACAAATATCTTTTTCTAAACTTCAAAAAACAATTTAAAAATTGACCCAGAAACTTAAATTTAAAAAAAATAATTAACAAACAAAAATAAAAAAACCTACCAATGGCACCCTCCAATCTCTGCCCATTCTTTTCTTTACATCATGTTTCTCTCTAGTTCTCCTCAAGTAACACCTCTAATCTTCGGCACATATGACCTATCTGTGCTGCTAGTGTTGTAAAACTTTTACTAACACTTTTTTAAAAACCCAGGACAAACCGCACAACTACACGCAGAAAAGAGAAATTGACAGAGGAAGCAGGAACTAAAAAAAAACAAAAACAAAAAAAAAAAAAAAAAACCAACTAGGGGTGTCCAGAACACCAGACCTTCCTCATACTACATAAACACTCAGTCCATAACGGTGACACGTAATGCAGAGATGAAAAAAATCTACAAAGTGACAGACCCATTATTTACTCTTATTTTGTTTGTTATAGATGTAACCTTCCTCTAAAAAATAAAACCGAAAACAATTTCCTGATCATCAATTTTGTCGTTGGTAGCTGTACACTTCTCACCAGACTTCAGGAAATCAAGTGAGATAAAAAAAACCAAAAAAAACAACCACAAGCGTGAAATTATCGGTACCAATGACATCATGACCGCAGCACCGTCACATTAAACACAAACACACAAAAAAAAAAAGATTCGAATGAGCCTAGACACAAATAACCACATTTTAAAAAATGGAAAAAAAAAAGACCATAAACTTCACAGCCCACAAAAACAATATTTGTAAAAAGGAGTCATTACCTTCACTCGTCCAGATGTTAAAAAAACATTCTTAGCTATAATGTAAGAACAATATAGGCAGAGGAAAAAAGACGGGCATCTAGAGGAAAAAGGAAGGTTTACGTATAAATAGAGGAACAATGAAGAGAAAAAGAGCCGCGCTTTGACACATCTCAGCGTGCGGGGCACTAGACAGATATCACATCAAGCATGCAGGCGCATGGTGGGGGGGGAAGCAACCGAGGGTAGTAAGAAGCAAGCGCAGAGCTAGACAGAGCAGACTAGCGCTAGGACTCGCGCACGCACACACACACAAAATTTTTTTTAAACGGGAGAGAAAAAAATATACGAGGTAGAGTGAAACGAGGAGACAGTGTGTGTGAGACAGTGTGTGTGTGAGACAGGGTGTGTGTGTGAGAGTGAACTAGGAGGTAAATTCCTCACAGTACGGACCGCAGTCCAACGAAAGTGAGTGAGTGAGTCACTTACAGAGTTCTCTCCCCCCGGGTAGCTCTCCCCTCCGTTGATGTTCATGTACATGGCGCCCTGACCTCCCAGCTGGGACTGCGACGACGGCAGGCTGTAGTTGCTCGACCCTGGGGGAGGGGGACGAGTAGAGGGTGGAAGGAGGGAGAGGGGGATGGAAAGATAAATGTTACTGTTATTAAAGATCAGGCCCTTACTCATCATGAAAAAGTACAGAAGATCATACACTTGGTTTTTTTCCATGAAAAATAACAGAAGATCATACACTTGGTTTTTTCCATGAAAAATAACAGAAGATTATACACTTGGTTTTTTCCATGAAAAATAACAGAAGATTACACACTTGTTCAACCTGGGGAAAAAACCCCAGAAGGTCATACACTTATTCATCATGAACCC